AGTCTAAGCTGTCACCCTGAGTCACTGTATGATCAGGGCCATGTCACATGACTAAGCTGAGGCTGTTTCCCCATCTAGAAAATGGCAAAGCTCCCTCCCCCCACAGGGTATATGTGAACAGAGTAGACTAAAGACGGCAAAGCAGATCCTTTACCCCAACCTCACCTTCCCACTGAGACCTCCCTCCTCATCTAAAGGTGGAAGGCCAGGGAGTAGAGGAAATACAATCTCTGCCCCTGGTGAGCCGTGACCTAGCCTATCCACTGGCATGAACAGAGTCAAAACAGCACTGGCAAGAGTCCCAAGGCCTGCGGTCCATCTGAAGGCCAACCTGGGAGCTAGGACAAAGACAGAGAAAGACGGGAAGAGAGATGCTAAGAACAGACCTTCATCCATTTCTATCTCTTCACTTGTCACTTTCATAGGGCCATACAGTTGCAAATGCCCCCAGGAGCCAACACAGGCAATCCCATGCACCCCAAGCCATTTCATTTACATCTCAAACTATGTGACAGATGACAATATGGCAGCTAGTGCCTCTTCCCTTCATCCTCAATCAAGAGACACAGGAGAACACTTCCCAAGGTCTACCCCAAAAGATCCATGGATCCCAAGCTATTATCTATATCCCAAACCATGCGACCCAGGAGAACATCCCTGGGGGTCCACCTCAAACTATTTACTGTTGCTATGACAACCAAATACTGGCAAGCTTTTCCCTTCTGCAAATAAAAAGCTGGCTCCCTCTTCTCTTTCCCGGCAGCTTCTCAGTTTCTCGGGCCAAAATAACTACAATCTGCCTAGAGACTCTCCCCAGTGGCGAAGGACATCCTCTGATCCCCAACTGCAAGTCAGGGAGTAAACAAAAAAAAAATTGTGCAAATAATGGGGGGAGGTAGAAAGAGAAAAAATGTTTACATAAGCTTTTATGATTAGATGTAAATGGACAGAAATTAACCTTTTGAACAAATCTACTTTAAACGCAAACAAAAAAAAAAGCCAAACTATTTCAGTGTCCCAAAAAACATGACACAGCATAACTCGTCCCATGCACCCAAGATCCACTTCAGGTCATCATTTGGTATCCAGTACATCCCAGATAGGAAACACAGGAGAACATCCCAAAAGGTCCATACCAAGAGATCCCACAGACCCCAAGGCCTCTCATCTCTCAAATCATCTGACCCAGGAGAACATCTTCCAACATGTACCACAGATCATCCCATACTAGCCAATACAGCTTCCCTAGAGCCAGCATCTAGGTACAGATGGGAACAGCCCCATTACCAACCCAGGAGTTCTTTTTGACTATTAATGCTCTTAGCATAATGATGATGAAGAGAGGTAAGACTACTCCCCAAGATCAACCCCAGAGCATGAAGTCCACCATTGCCCCTTTTACCAACATGAAGAATTAAAAGCTACCTGAAAAAAAATTTATCCTGAGATAAATCCCAAAGGTATTTCCATAAACCCCAAGCCCCATTATCATGCTCACAAAAGGCATGACCTGAAAGAACATCCCTCAGGGTCTACCTTTAGGCCATCCTGTGGACCTCAAGCCCTTTTATAGGCCCAACCACATGACCCAGGAACACATCACCACCCGCCCCCACACACACACCCCATCATCAACCCCAGATCAGCTCAAGCCAGGCAATACCCCTTCCTGACATTCAGCAATAGATAGATAAGAATATCATCCAGTATTAACACCAGGAGAGCCCTTCTACTGAAAGGGCCTTTAGCAACTTGGACAATAAAAAGACAGCAGAGAACCTTCCCCAAGATCGTGCCAAGGGGATCCTTTTACTTTCATCCCTTTTATGAACACAAAAAATTGATGGCTGAGAACACTCCCCCCCACTTCATCTCCAGGGGATCCTTTCCACTGTTCCTTCTTTGACCATCACAGACAACGAAGAGGTAGCTTAGAACACCTCCCAAAACCATGCCCTTGGAATAGCTTTAACTGTTCCCCCTTTGACTATGGCATCATAAACAATGAAAAGATAGCCAAGAACATCTCCTCAGCATCATCCCCATGGGATCCCTTTCACCGTTATCCTTTTTTACTAATAGAATGAAGAGGTAGCTCAGAACACCTCCCATCATTCATAGAGGATAGCTTCAACTATTCTCCCTTTGAGCATGAAGAGACAGCCAAGGGCATGCCCTCCCCCAACATCATCCCCAGCAGATCATTTTCACTCTTCCCCTTTGGACTACCATCAGCTGAGAATCAGCTGAGAATACCTCCCACCAAGGTGAACCCCAANTTCAACTATTCTCCCTTTGAGCATGAAGAGACAGCCAAGGGCATGCCCTCCCCCAACATCACCCCCAGCAGATCACTTTCACTCTTCCCCTTTGGACTACCATGGACCATTAAGAATCAGCTGAGAATACCTCCCACCAAGGTGAACCCCAG